CTCTCTCTCTCTCTCTCTCTCTCTCTCTCTCTCTCTCTCTCTCTCTCCTCTTCTGACTCCATTCGCGCCAGATATGCTGGTAGAATGATTCCTATGTAAATGTGTTACCGGGGTTTCTCTTATATTTACGCACGTACCCCATATCGTGTGACACCGTGGCGCGGAAAAACAACGCGATACAATTGTCCCTCGGAACGAAATCACGCTAGTCGTGGCTCGCGCTTTCGTCTATCGATTTCGAGTGTGAGTAGCCGCCTCCGTCGACGATAACAACGACGACGATGACGATGACGATAGTCTTTCGTAGCTCGAGGATCGGTGCCTCGCGATTCCTTCTCGAGAGAAACGCGAATGCGACCGTGTTCGTTGCCGCGCCGCGAAAGTCCCGTTCGTGAGGTTCCCGAGATGAATTCCCTCGTCCGCGAACTGAATCCGGACCGGTGGGTGCACGCGGCGAGGCATTTCGCGAGGAACCGATAACCCCGAAGGTATCAATTTCCCCAAAAGCTCCCCATCTCGTTCCCGCCGTTGTTCCTATCAGAAAGTCATTCTATCTCGAAACAACATTTATACAAAAGTGAGAAAATCTCGAGACAAAATTATACAAAAGTGAGAAAATTTGCTGGACTCTTTTGACGTACAAAATCGCAGATATTCAACGAATTTTCTCATTTTCAAATGAAAATCGTTTTGAGCTACACGATCGATCCCCCGAAAAAAGCGGGTTCACGCGTGTTCCTGGGGCGAGGCGAACGCGGGGCGTCCGTTTCGTCACTTCTTCCCGCGCGCGCCGTGATTTTCTCTTCTTGAAACATATCCGAAACGCCTCGCGTTGGAGAGTCGGCCGGGACAAAAATTTTCGGCGCGTTCTCCGAGCCCGCAAGGCGCGTAAGTGTGTCGCGTAACAGTCGGTCGTCACGGAAGAAACGCGATCAGCAATATCTTACGGAGACGGATTGATCATATCGGTAAACACGAACCGCTCGTTGGAACGCAGCGCCGCGCGTATCTCCCCTCGTTCCTCGGGAGGGAAACAAAAGCGTGATGATAAAATCCCGAGTCTTCTTGGCGAAACTCCGCGTGAAAAAGAGAAAGAGAGAGACAGGTCGTCATCGTCAGCGACACCGCGAGGCGATCGCAAAATCCGCGTAGGACAGCTTCAGGCATCTCTATTGATTCGAGTTTTACCCTACTGACTCATTTACCACAATTCGCCCAAACAAACACGAGTCCCTCCTCCTCCGCTCTCCCCCTCCCCCTTACTCTCCCCTCGTCCTTTCGGCGACGCTCGCGTCTAGTACGGCTCCGTTTCTCTCGGTTTGGCTTCCTCTCGATTTAATGGTAAAAGCAGACGTACGATTCCGAGCGAGCGTGCTAATGAAGGGACGAGCGAGTTTTTCGCCGACGAAAGTGGAGTAAAGCTTTTCGATGGCGTTACTGCGCAGTAGAAACGAGCCTGACCCCCCCGAGTCGACGCTAACATGGTGGTTCGTTCCCGGTCGTGAATGCCGGCCTTTTCCGCCTGCGGCTTTTCCAATCGGCATTTCGTACGCGACCAGACGGAGGAGGCTTGTTCGATATGGTCCACAATTAATCGGCGTACCGCGAGCCGAGAATCCATCATGACGTCGTTAATCGCCGGGAAATCCAGCTCGAAACTGGACATCGGTAGTCCGAGAGCGACACTTCCACGTCTCCGTCGTTCGTGATAATTAATTTAATCCTCGTTCCGAGGATAAAAATCAGAAGTCGCGCGAACTGCGAGATAACGATCGGATTTACTCGCGGGTTTTCCGAGCGAAACATTCGGTGATTTCGAAATGAGTTCGCGTCTCATCTCGTCTCATTGAATTTTTATAGCTAAAGCGGATTTCAGTTATAACTCAATTATCAGGTTGGGCTTGGAGCTCTGCCCATGGAAAGTCTTTTTAATTACTTAATTCTAACATTGTCCCGTGATTCATTTATGTTTTCGTAAATTATTTGACTGAGATGGTAATTGCATTACTCATCTTATCGCGATTCAAGTTTGAAGGACGAGGTCTTTACCTGGAAAAATCTAGAAGGAAAAACGTAGAACCTGGAATTCTCAAGGAATTTATTTATGCCTTGAAAATTCAGGAAATTTTCATGGAATTTTATCAAAAGTCAGGAAATTTTTCGAAGTTTTTTCTAACATTTTATTTTTATTTTATAATCAGGAATTTACCGACAGAATTGCTAATGATAACAGAGAATTCATCCATTCTATGTAAATGTCACAGCATATTGATTTTACAACTCCATTGCTCAATATCGAAGACAATAATTTCGTATTAGATACAATTTTGTTTGATAAAGACGAATGTTTATTTTATAAACATAATAGTTTTCTAAAAGTTCAATTTTGTACGGGTTGTACATTACATAATCTTTTATTTGTACCCTTTGAAATTTTATGCAATATAAAATATTCATTTTTTTCATAGTTATAGTAGTTTATAATTTTTTTAGTTTCTTTCTTAAAATTTTTTAAATTTGATTATTAAAACTCAAGTGATATTCTAAATTTTATTTTATAATTTATAAAGTTTTATAAATAGAAAGTAAGGACTTTGCACTATAAATATATATTTATTTGTAAGATATATTTATAAAAATACTTTTATACTTTACCTGGAATTTTTAACAAATCGCTTTGAAAATCGGAAAATTCTCAGAGAATTTTTTTCGGGTTTTCCAATAGACCTCCCTGTAGAGTTAAATATACCATTTAACTGCAGAAACCGCACCTGAAATCGGTAGACATAGATATCTATCTACGAGTTATTAATCTTTCGCGACACTGAAAAAATAAATCG